TTCCTTCCAAAGAACGTGAGCTTCCTGAGAGGAAGACATCTGCCTGCTTTGTTCCCAACCAAGTCTCCCGTGTTTACAAAGGTGCCTGACACATAGTAGATGATCAGTAAGTAGTTCTTAAATGGCAGAATCAGTAAAAGTTCTACTAGCTTTGATCCTCACAAGTAAGGAAAGAGACTTTTCATTTGAAAAAAAAAATCAATATGATCATTAAAACCAAATAAAACAAGGACATAATTAAATTAGCCACCCTAATTTTAAAACACATACAACCAATTTTTTTTTAAACTTCATCTTGCATTTAAAAATCTTTTTTTTAATTTAGAAAAATGATACATAAAAAATCTGTGATGACAGATCTTTCCTTTGTTTTTCAATGAAGTTATTTTGACATGAAACTAACATTATTCATTGCCTTTTCATTCACTAAAGACAGCATCAGCATCAATTTAATTTTATCCCTATGTCTTACCATTGGGGATGTTGATTTTTGTTTTTAATAAACCTTGGGGTGTATTTGATAGAATATAGAAAGGGAATTGAGGAGACTTAGGTTCTCAAAGATCAAAGAGAAGTAGAAGAACGCAGGTGCTAGAGAGAGAAAAGCCCAGCTCCTGTCGTGGGCTGCCATCTCTCTCTCTCTCCCCACTCCTCCACCCTCAGGCTGACTCTATCTAGGCCAGGGAAAGGGTGAAAGACCATGCCTGGAAAGCAACATCATAACACCTGCACCTCAGAGTCCAAACAAGAGACAATGATAATGGACCTTGCCAAGTACACCATTCTACCTTCTTTGCATTGACAATGGTACAGAGCTTATTCCATTAACTGTGCTTACATTTTACTTACAATGTGCTAAAAAGTACATAAATATCATTTGAAAGCGAATCCTATTTAANAAGCAACATCATAACACCTGCACCTCAGAGTCCAAACAAGAGACAATGATAATGGACCTTGTCAAGTACACCATTCTACCTTCTTTGCATTGACAATGGTACAGAGCTTATTCCATTAACTGTGCTTGCATTTTACTTACAATGTGCTAAAAAGTACATAAATATCATTTGAAAGCGAATCCTATTTAATTCTAAAGGAAAAAAAATCAAATTCCTCAAAAATATGTTCTTACTACTAAAAATAGTCTATTATCAGTCAGTAAAAGATTTAAAACTGTTGAGTGAACTTCAGAGACAAACATAATCCACACTCTTCTACCTTTCCTAGTGAATTATAACAGATGACCAACTTTCCTTCGGGAGTGTTTCAAAATTCCTCTGGAATCGTTATTAGTTATACAGGTGCATATGAGGACAGCTTGGCCTTGAGTGTTCTTACAACAGGTGCTAAATGAGTTCTTTGACTTGACTTTGCTTTAGAAATCATTAACCATGGTACTTGCAACTTCTGAAGTTTGCTGTTATAAAAGAATTTTAATGTCCATTTCACAATGATCTTTCAAATTGTACCTATATTGTCATGTCCTCTCAAAGGTATTCTAGATATTCTAAGAGAGCCATAGAATGAATTTAACCACCTGTACCTAACATAAACACCTATTTAAACTCATTTTTAAACCTAAATTCCACTATTGGATACATTTACATTGCTAAATTTTATTTTGATATCTGTTATTCGGAACTATAAATATAAACATTAGCATTAAAAAGCCTGTTGATTGTTTTCATTTTAGTAAAGCTCTATTAGGCAGAGCTCAGATCATCACTATGGCAACTAATAAAGAGGCAAAAGGTCAGCCGCCCTGAAAATAGAATAATCTTCGTAAAAGTACACTGCTCTAGTGATTGCCACTGCTCTCAGGGATATTTATTACAGATGGGCAATGTTTCTACTTTTGTGAACAAATTCAGTGATAAGAGTTAGTAAGGAAAAAAAGATTACTCAGCTAGAAAAAGGCTAGCAACACCATCTAGAAAGAACTCCTTAAACAATGTGCAATTTTAAAAGCAAACATTTGTAAAACTATGCTTTAAACCAACTGTTGATTGTAATCTCTAGAGGAGATAAATTAAGAAAAACTGTGGTCTATACCCAATGAATCATGGTAGAAGAAGACAATAATGCACTTAAGAATATATTTTAATAATTGTTACCCTTACTGAAATATTAATTTTTCTAACAGTTTTTACATTCTTGATCACAGCAGAATTATTATTTGATAATTTCCAATTTGGGGGATTTTCCATGCCGACCAAGATGCAGTCTCCGCGGAATAAGCAGCTCCATGGCAAGTATGTTAACCCCAAAAGTGAGGTCTGGGGACAAGTATTTTTTACTCTCCAGCAAACTAAATAGGAGAGAATAGGAAAAA